CGGCCTTGGCCAAGGCCGCTGCTACGTAGAGCATACCAATGCAAATTATAAATCAGCATATACTGTTATTTTCCTAAATGCATAATATAAAAAAACATTTTTGATCATTATTTTACTTTATTTGTTTTTTTGGTGTAAATAATTTTGACCCTGATATATGTGCAGTTGTAATTGTGACTCTGTTTCTAGATTCTATTAAACATAGGCCTACTGTATTTTTGGCATTCCTATATTGCCATTTCTTGTTCCTTATCAGGTGACATATAAACCCATACATACATATGCAAAAGACAAACTCAGCCGATATATCAGCATTAACATATCGTGTTTGTGAATCACTGGACACACAGCATGTCTGTGCACAGTGCAGGAAAATGTAAGTACAAGGCAAGTACTACTATAAATACTGCAAACACATATGGAGCAACACAAACAGTTTCCAGGTTCATCAAGAACATTTAGAATTCTTTCAGGAATATACTTGTTACTTATTTACTTACTTACTACCATAAACCATCTGTTTGTGGCATTCAGATTGGGTTTGTTAGAGTGCGTGAACCCAGATGTGTACACAAACAGGAGCACACTGACATAGACATGAAGTGTACGGAGAGTGTCAGGTACAGGACTATCCTGGCAACAGGCCCAAACTGACGAGCCTAAACTACATTCTCACAGCAGTGTTTACAAAAAGTTGTAAAACTTTACATGATGAATTGATGAACACGAGATTCCAATAAAAGTTAACACGTTGTTTACCATGGGCCATAGTGTGTTGATTTAACTTTTTTTTCACGGTTTTGTGTTTTTCCACCCTATTTAAATGATTGAGTTGAATTAACACGTAAATATCTGCTGTGTCTTGCAGGTTATCAGATGTCTGACTTTGGGAGCAATGTATATGCATAATGGTTTCTCAGCAATATGGTCATATAGTAAAATAGTTCATAGTAGGTTTTCACATTTAAAAAGGTGTCATATTATTGATATTTTGGTTTGAATTCAAATGTGTATGTAATCAAGACTTAAAAAGGAAAGTCTTACTGCATTGAGCTGCTGCACCAAGATGACCAGGACAAGGATCCACCTGTGAATGTAACAGTAGTAATAAATTAACTGTAGTCTCATTTAGCCCAGCTACCTGATGCCTTCACACAACCATAAATGACTGTCATGTAAACTCAGAACTCAAATCAGAGTGTGTGCGGTGCTTGCTGGTTACCTTATAACTCTGGAATGCTGTCAACATATTACAAAGTGCACAGAATGTGAGGCAAGAATTTTATTAATGAAAATTAAGTCTAAAAAAGAAGACAATTCAACTTGCTGCACATTTGCTTATAATGCGTTGCTCTTGTGTATAGGAGAACTAAAACTCCACCCCTAGAGAACTACCCAAAGTGTCAACACACTGCAGGTGATACCTGGCACTCACACAGACTGTGTCTCATGTCATGGACGTCAGTTTTTATACAGTCTACTACATATTGGAGTGGAAGTATTGCT